ACTTGAGATCTTCCTATCTATCTCAGCCTCTGGAGCCACTGGGATTACAGACGTCCACCACTGCACCTGGCATAACCTTAGCTTTTTTTTTTTTTTATAGGGCATCTACTATTACTATTAATTCCACAAAGACAAGGTAATAAGACAGATACATAGCCAGGCATGGCGGCACATGCCTATAATCCCAACAGCTTGGGAGGCTGAGGCAGGAGTATAGAGAGATCAAAACAAGCCTCAGCAACTTAGTGCCCTAAGAAACTCAGCAAGACTCTGTCTCTATATATAACAAAAAAATGGAGGGGGGTGCATGGTATGTGGATCGGTTGTTAAGAGCCCTGGGATAAATCCCAGATTGGAGAAGGGGAGGTGGGTAGATAGAGATCTTTAAAAGCAACATCAACTTACTTCCACATATAATTTACATAAACCAACTATAATATGTAGCTTATTAGAATGCCAATGGAAAAACACAACTATACATAATTCCTCTGAGCTTAAAGAACATATGAACACATTATATTTCTTTCTTTTAGTTAAAACACTATATTTAAAACTAATCCTTTAAAGACATACACAGGAAAGTTTGGTAAACTTCATCAGAGTAACCCAACATTAGATAGTGCTAGAAATGTTTTATGTTCATTTGAATGAAATTTCATATACTGACATACAAAAAAAACCCTTAGAATTATATTTCATCATTAATATGTTCAAGAAATTAAACCACATAAAACAAATCACAATCAAGTAAATAAAAACATGTCCATCCAACATCTAATGAACACAAATGAGAATGACAACTTGAAAACACTACAAAATTATTTTATTCTGAGTATAATAGCATTTTGTTTACTGAGGAAAAAATTGGCTATTCCTCTAGGGTATTTCTGATGATCTTATTAACTAGTTAAACATTCTGTGACCATAATGAATTAGAGAAAGAGGAATGAAATCCAAAATCATCATAAATGTATTTACCTCCATCTAGACTCCTAGAGACCCGTTTACTAGAGGTGCGATCAAAGTGTGGCGCTGGTCTGTCTATGAGGATGCTTGCCTGGCGGGTCTGCGCTTGTGTACGGCCACTGTAGCGGAATTTGGACCCCAAGGTCAGGAACTTGGCCTTTGGTGGCTGCTCTGGAGACACAAGCCTTGAGGGGAGAGGGGAAAACAGGGAGCAAAATTAGATTTACAGATTTTTTTTATTAAAATGATATATTTTAGTATCTAATTTTATATATTTTAGTATTATCTAATTTTAAGTATGATTCAAAACAATGCTACCTAACTTATAATAAAAATAAATATTATTTGTAAACCCTCCTATATATATATATGTAGCTCTATAATAGTGATATAAAGCCACATTCATGTACTCATGAAAAATATTTTTCTCAACCAGAGTGAAAGAGCAGCTGTTCTCAGTGTATATCAAGGGTTATTTATTTGTATTAGATTAAATCATTTATATAAACACATATGTCTGAATTCTTGCTCCTAGCTATAAGTGCCAAGAAGCAATCCATTACCATTAGTAATTCTTAATATTTATGCCTGTTTTTCCTGGGGAAAAACATTTAACTCGAGAATCTGTTTCATCACATGATTCTTTCCCATGAAGAACAGAACACACAGTGGATCTGTAGAGATGACTAACATCATTTACTGCCAGCACAATTTTACTATGCAAGCCCTGGGTTTTTAATTAAGTAAACTTTCTTCCCAGAGTTGTGCATGTTTTCAGTAAATAAGTCAGTCTTTCTGGAATACAACTGAAATTGTCTTATTTTGTTTGATCAAGAATTAATAAAATGTCTTAACAAAATGATTATCTCAGAGCTCTTACACAATTTATTAAATATGATCTTAACTAACAATTCAGGAGTATGGAAAACTCTACCAAAACCTTTCCTATCATTTTCTAAGGGAAAAGTGATTTCTTAATAAAAGATTTTTTAAAAATCATTTGAAGTGTTTGAAGACCTTCAAATTTTATAGAAATCTCTTCTTGCTTAATGTCCAATAAAGAGATCCAAGTCAAGGAAAACCAGTATGTAATAAATAAGAGAGGCAATCTCAAATCAACTGAAGATTTGCAAAACAGTATTCACCCAGAAAAACAGTATGTTAGAATGAAATTGATTTATTTCTGACTTTCTTGGCTTAAATCTATTCATTTAGGAATCAGAAGCGTACCTCAAATTGATCTTTAGAAAAAGGTGCATATTCTTAAAATAGATTGCCAGAACAGTAGAAATTTGGACCTAAAAAGAACCCCCTAGTCATGCTCTGAGTTATTTTTTCTCTAATAGCAGAGACATGAGGCACAGAGAAGTCAAAACTCCCAGCATGATGATCGTGAGTAACAGACAACTAGGATGAGAGATTTGAGACCATTTGCCTTGCACTGTTTCCTGATGGGCTGAATAGCAGGAATTCCCTACTTAGAAATCCATCTAAATACGATCTAAGAATACTCCATTGAGAAAACAGTGATCTACTAATAAAAGAGGGGTGGGGTTGTGGCTCAGTGACAAAGCACTTGCCTAGCATCTATGAGGCATTGGGTTCAATTCTCAGTACCACATATAAATAAAGTCCACTGACAACTGAAAAAGTATTAAAAAAAAGAAAGAAGAAAGAAAAGAAAAAGGGTGGAGTAAGGAGTCTCTGGCAAGTTTGTAAGTGCAGCAATTGTTTGGGAAATACACTCCTTAAAAACCAGGTTAGCCTCATCACATTTATCTTTATTTTAGTCTATTCATAAAGTATAGTATATAGATACTGAGTCATCAACTAAAGCAAAAAAGAGAAATTCTTAAAGAATACCTCAAATAAGAAATGTGCATTGACAACCCCAAAGGCAATCTCTAGAACAAATTTCTAAAACTACAAACAGGATGTCTGATTTTTGGAAATATGAAAATATTTTAAGAATACGTATGTTTAAAAAAGGATATATCTTTTTGAAGGTTTAACCTGCTATCTTCTTTTATAAAATGAACTAATTTTAAAACCATCTGAAACTGCTCAGGGGGCTGGGGATGTGGCTCAAGCGGTAACGCGCTTGCCTGGCATGCGCTGGGGACTGGGTTCGATCCTCAGCACCACATAAAAATAAAATAAAGATGTTGTGTCCACTGAAAACTAAAAAATAAATATTAAAAAATTCTCTCTCTCTCTCTCTCTCTCTCTCTCTCTCTCTCTCTCTCTCTTAAAAAATGTTTTCTGAGACTGAGCAGTTTTTTTTTAAGAAAATTTCCTGGGCTGGGCTATAGCCCAGTGGTAGAGCCCTTGCCTGGCATATGAGAGGCACTAGGTTCAATCCTCAGCACCACATAAAAATAAATAGATATTATGTCTATCCACAACTAAAAGAAAAAATTTAAGACAATTTCCATTGGTGTTTTCTAACTTTCTAATTTTAGTTTATGTAACTTCTTCACATGCACCAGGTGCTTAATAAATACAAAGGAGGACCCCACATTCATCTTTTACTACATGAGGGTACTAAGCATCTGGAAAACTCCAAAGATCATGTTTATGTATCTCTTGCAGTATTCTCTCTCTCTTTACTCTCTTTTTTTATTTTTTATTTTTTTTGTGAACCCAGGGGTGCTTAACCTCTGAGCCACAACCCCAGCACTTTTTACTTTTTGAAACAAAGTGTTGCTAAGTTGCTGAGACTGGCCTCAAACTTGTGATCCTCTTGCCTTAGCTGCTGAAAGGACAGGTAAGCCCCACTCCAGCTTTCCTCTCTTGAGATAGGTTCCGGCTATGCTACCCAGGTTGGTGTGAGCTCAAGGTACACCACCACCATGCCAGTAGCTGGGATTATGGAAAGTGCCACTGCACCTGGCTCTTCAGTGTTCTCTTTCTTGGTGTTGTAGTCACACCATTAAAGAAAAGTTTCTGAGTTTTCTTGTATCAAAAATTTTGGGGAGAAAGTTGGCATTAAGCCAAATAACCTCTGACATACTATAAGAACCACTAGTGAATGGTCCTACTTTAATTCGATAAAACACAAAATGATTAATTTTAATTAAAGTCTTTTTAAAATAACTCTAAAAATGACCTCTTATTTATATAGACTGGGTGTTTTAGTAGGTTTTTCTGACTACTGTGACCCAAAGACCTGACAATTAACAATTACAGTAGGAAAAGTTTCTTTGGTGCGCACAGTTTCGCAAGTCTCAGCCTAGACATGGCCAACTCTATTATTCTGGATGAGGGATGAGGCAGAACACCGTGGAGGAAGGGTATGGAGGAGAAAAGGAACTCAGAACATGAAACTGAGGAGCAGAGAGACTGCTCCACTCAACAGGGACAAAATTATATAACTCAAAAGGTATGCTCCCAATGACCAACCTCCACCACACCCTACCTGACTATGGTTACCACCCAGTTAATCCATTCAATTGGATTAATATACTGAATAGGTTAAAGCTCATAACCCAATTATTGTACTTCTAGACTTTCTTGCATTGTCTAACACTTGAGATTTTGGGGGACACCTCATATCTAAACCATAACACTAGGATATCTATCTAATGAGAATAATTCTATAGAATCATATTTCTTGAGATTGTTTTTAAGGAAATGGACATATGGTTAATTGTCATTTAAATGAATGCCAGAATAATCATCCACCAGAACATCTTTGTAGAAGATATTCTACTATATATACATATATGCATAAAACAATATCTCCAAGAAATATAAGAAAAATATGTATCATAATACAAAAGAAGGAAAATCATAATTAGATGAACTTTTATTTCAAATAGGGATGAAATACTATCTTTTTTAACCAGCACTGGTAGCCACATATACAAAGCGTTAGCTTACAGATTACTTTCCAAGAATGAAGTCTTGAGTAATTAGGATACAATTATATGGAAAGAAATGTCAAAACAAAAGGATTTAACACAAGCATTTATTATCTTTCTATGAAAGAACTTTTTCATGACTGAAGTCAGAAGTAAATACATTTTGAAAGAAAACGTAGGCAAAGTAACAAAATATTTTAATACTATCACTTCAAGAATACTTAATTATGTTCATCAGTGTTGTAATGGGACCCTATCTTCACAAGAATAACATCAAAACTATTAAAGACATTGACTATTCACTTTCAAGAATATAAAGCTGCAAACTTTTGCAGAGTATTAAAGACCTTGGGCAAGATGATGTAAGTAATGATGTGTCAAAAAGGAACTCAACCTTTACATATTTCACTGCTCAAAAAGAATATTACCAATTTAGTTTTATAACACCCTGCCATTATAAATATCATTAGTGTTTACCTCTGGATGGAAAATAAAGGAACATTTTAAGAAAAGCCACATATAAATTACTAAAGTTAATCATGATTAGTGCATAGGTTTCCATAAAGCTCTCTGGTGAAACTGGTGGCACTATTATGCTCGAGATTATTCTGGTTATATGATGCCAAGTTTAAAAGGCAGTTTAATATCCAGCTACAAGAACTTCATGCTTATTTCTTGTTCACATACATATAGAACAACAACAAAAGCATTGGGAGAGAAAAAGACAGGAAGACACATTCACTGCAGATGTAAATGGGTAGCATGGCATAGCATATACACATATGAACACCAGGAGCCACAGTGCCTGGGGCTTGAATTCCATCTCCACACGTTACTACCTACATAACTATGGGTATCCTTCTTAACTTCTGTTAAGAGAAAATAATAGCACTTGCCCCATAAAATGTGTAGTAAATATTAAAAAAATTAATCCCTATATAGCACTTAGAATAGTGACAGGCTCTATAAAACGTTCAAGCAATGGTAGCAACCTTATTTTTACATCTTTGTTTCACTAATATTAGTCTGGCTGACCATCAATGAATAGAAAGATCAGTTTATTTTTTTAATAGATTCAATCCATAAGCCTTATAATTTTCTAAAAAAATATGCATCTTTTATTATAAACTAAAACAACATAATAAACTGATCTATTTTAAAGCACTCTGCAGACACATTATGATTTGCCCTTTCTATGTTAAGATACATTGTTTTATATAGCTTTAGAAGCATTATGAAGATTTATAAATATAAAAATACTTCTGTTAACCATTACCTTAAAAGTTTGTAGGCATGAATCACTCTACTTTTAGAATGGAGTCGGTGACTCATTAGTCAAAAAGATGGAGGGACTCTGAGGTTTTTGCAGGGCTAACAAAAGCTGCTAGAACCATATGAGAGGGAGAAGAGAGCAGAATGAGGAATGTGTGACTTGGAGTCAGAGAGCCAGGCTCCAAACTCTGCTTAGGTGCCTGCTGCTACCTGCCTCTGAGCATCAGTTTCCTTCTGCTGTGGTGAGGAACAAATGAGTTGCTGCAATATAAAGCAATGGATTATGTGTCTGACAATTATAAATGCTCAAGGAATGAATGTTAGCACTTGTCATTTCTAAAAGGATTATTGCTTTTATCATTATAGGGAAGACTGCTGTCTGTCCAGCCTAGACTTATATGACACAAAGTTTTATACTGGCTTTATATGAGTGGCTCATAGGTTGCCACAGTCTGGCTGGGCACAATTCAGGAGCCACTTGTCAAAAGAAACTAACTTTATTTTTAGAACCACACACGCCAAACAAAACAGCTCCTCAGGAAAAACCCCCAGAGCCTAACTGCCACCACCGGCTTCCCACAAGCCTCTCTCTCAACCACCACCAGCTTCTCCACCTCCCCCAACCCTCCTGCTCTTGAGGTCGATTGGCTGGGTCATGTGGGCGGAGCCAAAAAAGTCCCCCAATGAGCAGCTCTGTGGTCTGAAAGGGCAGGGAAACAGCCCAATGAGCATCACCGCAGAGGAGCCAATCAGCTGGATGTTGCTGGAGCCGCTGTGAGCCAAGCATCAGCTGGCAGTCTGAAAGGGCGAGGAAACAGCCCAATGAGTATCACCGCAAAGGAGCCATTCAGCTAGATGTTGCTGGGGCTGCTGTGAGCCAATCATCAGCTGGCAGTCTGAAAGTTTGCTGGGGCCCCTTCGGCTGTGGCTCTCAACAATGGGTCTCTCATAGAGAGAAATGTTATGGCTACCAAGAGAAATCAAATTTTTCAAAGCTATCTATGATCAGTGTAACTGAGTCAAGGTGATTCAAGGATATTTTATGATTTATATTTCTCCTCTAACATGGGTATATTAGAACAATTTTGAAAACAAATCTATTCAATTTAACCTCAAGAAGGAGTCGTTTGTACTGACAATTCACTTTTAAAAATAGCACACTATGGTACCAAATTAATAATGATGGCATGCGGGTGATGGTGATTGTGATGGCAAAGGTGATAGTGATAAACATTATTATACACCTGAAATGGTTCTGAGTTTGTTTCACATGTATAATCTCATTAGAATTTCAAAACAATCCAATAAGTACATATTACTATTATTAGCATCTCATGTGGAAGATAAAATTGAAGCACAAAGAGGTTGAGGAACTAACCAGTTACAAAGATAGAAGGTGGTGGAACCTTATCAGATCCTAAGTCCATAGCAAAAATCTTTAAAATGAAGGGCCTAGATACACAGTTCTGCAGACCACAGTAACAGAAAATGGAGGAAATGAAGGTAACCAAACTACTTGTTAAAAATCTGCTGCTGAAGAAAAGTACAAAAGGAGGCAGGATACAAACTAAAGATGGCCATCCGAGGACTTTTTGGTTCTTAACAGAGCAAGACATAAACATATTCATTGGCCAAAGTCAAAGGCACCCACTAGAAAGTAAAAAATTTACCTGGCAGGATCCTCTTGTGAGGCATGAAATAAGGGTTTAAGCAAAGGAATAACTATCCTTTTCTTGGGACAGGAAAGGAGTAAAACAATGAATGCAGGGAAAGGAAGTAATTCCTAATTACAAGAAAAAGTGCAGAAGAAAAGGTGCTCATGACTTAAATTTCTACTCTAAGCACACAATAAAATGGGGAGTACCTGAGGGAAAAGGCAAGTGAGCCTGGGAACTCTAGAAGAATAGGAATATTTGGGATGTCAAAAGGCAGAAAAGACTGATTGTTTAGGAGCACTGAGGATCCAACTAAAGTGAGAAATTATTTTATCTGTAATAGCACTGATCCACAGAGGTGTGTTCTGTTATAATGTAGAGCTCCTTGTATCACCCTAGTTGTTCAACTTAAGATGGCACTTAACAGCACAGGTACAGAAGTGGTAAGGTGGGAATTAATGGGTACACAGAACTAATCCAGTACTAGCTTAGGAAACTGGATATGGAAAGAGAGCAGAGGTTATAGCACTCTTGAAAAAATTGCCTAAGAAACAGACCACAGAATGTAGGCTGGTTTGGGCAAGAGGTGAAGTGAGGGAGCTGATGACAACATCTAAATCAAACCTAAGATGAGTGATAGCAGAATGAACAGCAGCAGGCAGGGAGTAGTATGGTGGTTATGGAAGGAAAGGGCAAAGTTTTGGGCAACTGCAAAGAGAGATCACAGCATAGCCTTAGGCAAAGAAAAAGACAGGGGAATAGACCATATGTGACAGATGAGATGTGGCACCAAGGAAAGCAAAGAATACTAAGGCAGGGGTTGATGCATCTGCTATACTAGCCACTACCACTTCCTGATCCATGGAGGGCACCAACAGCAATTCCAAAGTGACTTCTTTAAGTTACCTGTAGAAAGTATGATGCTCCACACACACTTTCCATAGCCTCTTTGCTGCCCGATGGTTTGGCAGTTTGAACCCAATGGTGCTCTCAAACTGCTCCAGCTGGAACAAATCCATAAAATGAATTAGCATATCTCCTTAAGCTCTGACTAGAAGCTACTGATAAACATGGATTTAGTTGTTTCTGTAGGAATTCTTCTTCAGAAAGGCATATATATCTAAAATAATACACAAAATGAATTTTTCATAGATTGCAATACTATTTTCTATGACAAGCAAGTATCTACTACTCACATAAACCGCTATTCTTCATGTCCACTAAAATGCACTTTTCCACCTTTCTATTTATTCCATCACTTAACTGATTCAAAAAGAAGAAATGAGTTCCTACTATGTGCCAGACATATATTACTTTTCCTTGCTGTGCAAGACATGGTGGTTGAATCCATTTAACTAGAGGAACATGCTTATACAGATTTATCAAGAAGCCCTGACCATTTTACCATAGAAGAATAAAGAATATTTCTTATCCTCATGACTTTGTGAAAAATAATTTATTTAGCTCTTTTTAGTAAAAGGAAATACTGACAACTGATTCGATATGACAAGGACATTACTTACCTCTGCTGGCCTAACTTTAATGTAGAAGTTACTGCGCTTATAAGAAATTTTTAGGATCTTCGGCCAAGCAAAACGATTGATTCTCAGTCTATCTTTATAAATGAGGAGCCCATTAGCGCACACACCTAGCTTGATGTCCACGCCTTCTGAGTCCTGCCAAGCATAATTCATGTGACCACAATTAGAACTACAATAGTTATACAGATCAGGGGGCTCACTAGCCCCTCTCAAACCATGATCAGGAATGCCAACTTAACTGGTTTCTATTTAAAATGTTAGTGCAGGTACATAAATTAACAGAACACATGTATATTTTAATCTTCATCTTTAGGATTCAGGTTTGCTTTGCCAAAGAAATATGACAACATGATTATAGAACACAGGATTCTTCAAAAGGCCTAATCCATACATTCTCAAGCTCTATGAAGAGCTAACAGGAAAGAAGGGAAACAGAAGTAGCTTTAGATATCTTGAAGATCCGGATGATATAATATGTTCCCTGGAGGATACTCCAGCCCTCGGGTCAGTCTGTTGGCCTTCCTAAGGTATGCTCAGCAATTTGACTTTAGGCAACTTTCAACTTTACCTCAGATGAATAATGCTAGCCAATAGCTGTTAAAATTATGACTAAACTTGGCAAAACAGCAAACCCTCATAGAAACTTCTCTAGTCTGACAGCATTGAAACAGAAATCTCTTGAGTTCTTTCAAGCTATTTTTCAATAACTTATAAGTGCTGACAGCATCCAGTTCTCATTTAGCACTCCTTTGACCAGCATATTTCAGAAGACTGCAGACTCTTGAACTTCTTTTCTTTTCCCCAGATCTTTAATTTGAAATATATGACAATGTAAAATAATCTCGAGCCTGAAAGATTTTTTTTAAAACAGACAAAAGTGAAAATCGGTCTCCTCATATTTCAAGTAGTGCTAAAGATCTAATGTGCACAATATTCAAAATTTACACATCACGGTTTATCCTGAAGGGGATCACATTCAAGATATGTAAAACTGGCATGTATTTTTCAGAGGTATTCACATTTTCAGAAATCATTAACAAGTTGGAACAAATTCTCACAAAAAAAGCTGAGACAATTATCATATTTAGTCTATATCCCAATTCACGAAAAGCTTAACATTTTGACTCTCATACTAAGAGTAAGACACAATTTATATTACAAAATATTTTAAAATAAAAGTATAGTACTAGGCAACTGATGTAATTTCTTTATCTGCTGTGACTCTTGAAACTGATATACAAGCACAAAATAAAGTTATGTGAGACCAACCTGAACAGATGTGGGTTATCTATCTGGTCCCAAACACATTCTCTCCTACCTCCTTTATTGCTATTTCTTGGCTAACCTCCAGCCTATACCCACCATATAGAACAGACTGTAAAGAAAAAAAAGAAATTAATTTATATGACGCTTTACTTGTACTTACCCTGGTAGCCATAACTCTCTCTAGGAATAAAGCATAAAAAGCTGCAGTGAATTAGGCCCAGGTGCCCAAGCTACTTGGCCCCAGACCCAAAGGGTGTGTTTGCCAAAAACTTCACTGTCCATGGCCAGAGGGAGCAAGGCGAGAGATGGCCTAAGATAGCATGTTCTCACCACAACCCAGAGCAACCCTCATTTGAAACACTGAACAAAGCCATGTCTGGTCTGTAGCAATCTTCAGATAGGACAAGGAAGCTATTTTATCTGGCTTAAAAATAAACATCACTCATATTCAAGTAAATGGGCTGATTTTTGGTTGTTTTACTTATTGTTTTAGAATGATCAGTAATTATTTGTGTGAATAGAAATTAGGGAGAAAATAAATAAAATGAAAAGGAAAAAAAGCATGTCTAAATCCTCCAGGTCTGAGTTACACCACTCAGCAACCAAGTCAAAAAAAAAAAAAAAGACAGAATAAAAAGGAGCAACCTCCCTGCCTTGCTCATTGCTCCTTTAAGAAGCTTCTCCATAAGGACACCAATAGGATCCCATGTCTAGTAGATTCAGGATCTGATGAGTTATTGCACAAAATCAGGGAAGTCTGGGAATTTATAACCAGATCCCCTCCCTGTGTGGTCACATGAAGCTGGCTGTGTCCCTTTATGAGGGCTCCTCTAAAGACAGCCTTCTCCAGACACATCACTCCTTCTGGATTTTGGTAACCACTCTTTGCCCTGTCCCCTTTGGACCTACAGGGTCAAGAAGGATGCTGTTGGGTTGAGGGTATAGCTCAGTGGTACAGTGCTTGCCTAGCATATTAATGGCCCTGGGGTCAATCTCCAGCACCACAAATAAAATATATATATATAAAAGATGGTTGCTATTAACAGCTGAAGGATTATAATAGCACTCTTGTGGTTTCCACTCCCCTTTGTCAAGAATCCTCTAGTCAACACTCTTCAACTTATCCCAACTTGAGTGTGCCATTAAGAACTCTTAAAATAAAAAAGAAACAAAATCTTATCTCAATGCAGCAAGAAATATTTTAGAAAAGTACAAAACTTTAATTTACATGAAAAGTTCCTTTAAACTGTTACATCTATTCTCTTCCATGAGTCACAAATCATGCTTATCAAATATTATTAAAGGAGTCTAAGAAATGATAAACATAATGAATAAATGATACAAATAGTAGTCTGTTTTTTTTAACAGCATTCTGCTCCTAACTAACTACATTAGCAAAAACTGCCATCATACTTGTAATAGAGTATGCAACCTTTGTACTTTTCTAAGATACAGCACTGAAAAACAAGAATCCTAAAACCCTATAGTATTGCCATCTATGAATCAACTTCTAACTAATGATCCACAGAGTAAAAAAAAAAAAAGAGAGATATAAGAATTATATAGCGGGTGTTGTAGCTCAGTTGTAGAGTGCTTGCCTACCATGCATGAAGCCATGCTCAATCCTCAGCACTAGAAAAAAAAAGAAATATGGCAAGAGTAACAAGTTTAAAAAAAGCAGATGTGTCAGCGAGGTGGGGTATCTATCTGGTCCCAAACATATTCTCTCCTACCTCCCTTATTGCTGTTTCTTGTCTAACCTCCAGCCTATCCTCACCATATAGAAAATAAGGCAAAAAACACTCAAGCACTAGAAGGCTGAATTTCATCTTCTAGTAGGAAGGTATCAGGTATCAAAAGTTATCAGGCAAAGGGACTGCTTAAAAATATGTGACTTTAGGTAAATCATTCTCTTCAATGTGTTTTATATAGTTATAAAAATAAATACATTCAGGGTAGAGAGAGAATATGTGAGGGAAGGGGAGGGGGGATAGTAGGGGATAGGAAAGGTAGCAGAATACAACAATTACTAATAGGGTATTATGTAAAATTGTGTATGTGTAACCGACATGATTCTGCAATCTGCATTTGGGGTAAAATTGGGAGTTCATAACCCTCTTCAATCTAATGTATTAAATATGATATATCAAGAGCTTTGTAATGTTGTGAACAACCAATAAAAAAAATTATAAAAAAATAATAAAAAAATACATTCAAATTTTAAGTTAGTATGTGTGCAAATGCTTTTTTAAATTAAAGGAATAGAGCATCTACCAGTTAAAATTGATACTGTCAGTGTCTATTCACTAATAGGAAAAAAAATGTCTTTATGCAGTTTAAAAAAAAAAAAAGCGCTCGCTTAACATGCATGAGGCCCTGGGTTCAATCCTCAGCACCACATAAAATATTATATCCAACTACAACTAAAAAAAAAACACTTTGAAAAAAATGATACTTGTAATATGATTCCATTTTTAAAAGGCATGAGAATTCAACTGTTCAGAGATGAAAAAAATAAAATGTATCAAAACCTACCTGCTTATTCCTGCATAAAGAGATTTAAGTGATTTTTATTTTCTTCTGATTGCCTCTATTTTCTGTGATAAACATGTATTGCTTTTTAAAATATTTTTAATTTATTAGTTACAGTGGGACACAATACCTTTATTTTATTTACTTATTTTTATGTGGCGTTAAGGATCAAACCCAGGGCCTCGCCGGTGCTAGGTGAGCACTCTACTGCTGAGCCATAACCCAACCCCATATTGCTTTTTTGATAAGAAAAAATACTTTTAAAATAAAGGAAGTTGCTGAGGACAAAAGAGTGCCTTGCAAATATAAAGGATGATTAATAACAAAAAAGTAAGAATTACAAATTTGAAGCCCAGGGAGAAAAGTTATATTTGAGTAGGAGGCTTTTCTGGAGATTTCTCAAATCATATAATCTGGTCTTTCTATGGTACATCTAGAGATTGGCAGGATCCTTTAAAAGCAGGCAACCAGAGGTTCTCTCTCTCAGTGTATTGACTGTATATATTTTGCAAAACCAAACTTGTCTTTGACTTTGTCTATCATTCTCCTCCTAAATTCTCATCACTCAGTGATCATCTAAGCTGGAATCAAGAAGTAGGTAATATTTATTACCTGTTACTAACTCACCTTATCCTATACCTGTCTCTATTATTCCATTCTTTTACTATCTCTGAAATTAGACTGAAGGTTTTTCATCACCTGGAGCCTGGATCATCTCACTTTATTTTCACACAGGGAAAATCCCAAATCTAGGCGGTCTCCTTCACAACCCAGGAGCTTTCTGGAAGGCAGTCATAGCTGTTCTGCTTTTGCCCTTTCATACTTGCTAAGAATTGAACACTCCTTCCTAAACAGAAAAGAGAGGAAGCTGCAATAATGCAGCATCTGGACTAGCAAAAACTGACTCAGACTAACCAGGGTAAGAGGACAAGGGTGGAAAGGCTGACAAAGTGAGTCTTATGGTAAGTATCAATGAAAGGGTACTAATGAAAGACAAGGAAAAGAAGAAAATACAGAACAAACAATGCCTCCCACAACCATGAACCTCATAATTAATTACCAAAGAAACATTACAAAGACCCTGAAGTGAAGGCTAATAGCCTCTTTCCAAAGCAAGCTAAACTATTCTAACACTGGAACCTTTTCAAAATTTCAGTTAGTAGACTGCAGTAAAGCTACTCCTCAATGCATTTACCTTGGCATGATGTAGATCAACGCCATACATGGAAAGCCTCTTTGCATTTTCTAAGAACTGAGAATCAGCTTGTGCTGGAGATAAGCCCCTAAGAATGAAAAGAAACAGCATTGTCTTATTGGTAGATGAAAAATAAATGCATTCAAAATGGGGGAAAGGATGTGTGATCTTGGAGTGTTTGGGTTAGAGGCAGCAATGCAGCTAAATTTGCCAAGACATGGGGAACAGGTAAGGAGATTCATCTCTGAATCTCTAGCATTTCCTCTTAAGATTTTCTAATCTTAACTGACTGTCTGCAAGGAGGCACATGTCCATCCTTGTCTTTTTTTATCTTAAAATGATGCTTTTGATTATTTCCACTAATGAAAAAAGCTCTAGGAATAACAGGCACAACATAAGTTAACTGAGAATAAAATATAGTAAATAGACTATTTTTAATTCCTCAGTTTAATTTTGCTGGACTTAATCATAAGACAGACCAGAATTACTTGTATTTGATTTTATACCTATGATAAATAACACATCATATTCTGTCCACACTAATATTATTTTCATTCCAAAATTATTTCCATTCCGTCCTATGTCCCCAACTAAACAAGTTTTAAGTTTCTGGCAGACAAAACTAGGTCCCATGAGTTTTCATATTACCCATGGCATTTTAGTACCTGGTATTTCAAACTTAAATTACAGAATAAATGTTTGTTGAATAGAATGCAAATAAAGTTCACAAGAAAATATTTAGAGTCAAATACTCTATCATTTTTTGAAGCAAAGTCATGAATGTGGCCCATTTAAAACTTCTCAGTCTCTTAAAAGTTCCTTTCAAATTATTTCACTCACAATTTTAAAACTAGTTTTACAACAAAAAACAATTTATAATTTTGTAGCTAGAGTTATAAAAACTAGTGTAAATAGCCACAGTCTTTTTGCACACATATATTCTTACTCCAAATGTATATGCTATTAAGTAATCCTTACTTAAAGGGCGACATCTGTGGATCATGGAATCATGGTACACCTTCAGTAACTATTCCTACATCCATCATCACCCACACTTTTACTCAAACCCCAAGGACTCATTATTCCCCAGGCTTTCTTATCAAATACAGTAATAAAAATAATTGAAAGGGAAGAAATGTAAATGCCAACAATATGTGGGTATATTTGCTTCCTGTACATATGCTAAGGGATAGAACTGGGGAAAGAGACAAGAAAATGTCACATGGAAAAGTACATTTTTACCAAAAATGAAGGCAATTTAGTTTCATGCACACAACTCTCATATTATATAGTCATAAAAACACTGAAAGAATATCTCAAGGGTTACAGGTTGTCTTGATGGGTCTAGGTGACACTCCAAAAGGAAAAACTGGATAATCTCAGAAACCATGCTCAAATAACCAGCCAGGGTTACAAAGACAAACACTGTAAATCTACCATGGCCAATCTCTCTCTAGCAAGGAGATCAACTACAGACCTGTGAGTTTTATGCAGCTCTGCCACCTTCTCTTCCAGTTCCTTAGTCTGTGTAGGGGCAAACTGGAAGTCACTGAGGTCAATACTGCTGTGCTCTTCTGGGTCATAGTCTCCAAGCTCAGCCTGTAATGTGTAGGAGCCCAGGAGGGCATGAGTCACAAATGAGCAGGGCAGGCGGCCAGAGGCAATGTCTTTTCGAAGCTGAAGGCACAAAAAGTATCTGTGAAGAAGAGCAAAGGGTCACAGAAGAATAACTAGTTAACCCTGAAGCACTCATAATTCCTTAAATTCTACTATTTCTTTGAAAATAAATATATACTATATACATTATATTCATATCCACAACACAAATAGTCTTCTCTGATAAAAAGTCTCACCTTGCTCTTCGAACTTCTAAATTTATAACTTATTTATAGAAGTCTAAGAGAAGAAAAATTCTGAACAGCTGTTCTGGTAAATTCTGGTAAGTTTACAATAACTACTACAAATAAAGTTAAAAATTCAATCACTTCAACTGTCTCCTTGGATTTAAAACTGTAATAAAAATGAGCACACTTCCTAAAAGTTGTAAAGATTAATGCAATATCAAAAAAAAAAAATCACTGTAGTCTAGTATTTGCAAGAAAAGCTAATTTCGCCCACCCTTGACCATCTCTATCCATTTCCTATTAATATCTCATATTCCTTTTTTCCTGAGATGCCTTTAATATCAATTATAATTAAATCTAGTTTGAAGCCCTTACTTGACCACTCATTTAAAGAAGCAGCTAGCCCAGTAAGTCAGATAGCTGACTTCATGTGACCTTGAGCTAATCTGCTGCTTATAAAATGGGACAAACTCTACCTTCCTTTGAAAGTGAGGGTAAAAATTAAATACTATAAATAAAATACTTGGCATGGTACCTGAATCAATAACTAATAGTTATAATAACAAGAGCAATTCTAATGCTTCAAGTGGCTTACTACACAATTATAACAGAATCTTTGCTTTCCACTAAATTAACATGAAAAAACATGTGATACCTATTTTATGGGGATCTTTCTTCTTTTCAGCCCCGCTATCAATTCCTTTTGGTGAGATCATAAAACTGGATTTCTCCTCTCAAATTTCACCACTTGCTAAGGTCACCTCACCATTGAGCCCTCTGAAATAGATGGCAGGGCCCTCATTCTTGAAGATTTTTTTTTTTAAAAGAGACTATCATTCCTAGCTACTGGCTACCTTTTTTCTGTGATCATGTTTGCCTGGCCAGGTTTTAGAGTCCAATACTCTTCCTAAGTTCTACCTGACAGGTTCAGGAGTGGTGACTTCTGGGCAGGTAACTGTTCATGAGTCAGAGACCGCATCCCACACCACACAGTTCCAGTTCAGTTACACCTGAATTGCCACCCAAATCTACCACTGGGCAGGGATAGATCATCATTGTGGTCCCACAGTTAGCAAATCAAGTACTCAATAATTTCCTGAAAATAAAAGTCTTCTCATTAGTCCTGCAGTCTGAGTATTTTTATTCATTGTGTTAAGTTCTCTTTTTAAGGATGATTATGTTTCCTTGACCTATAGAAAATATGATCACAAATGCACCTACTTTAGAAAACTAAATCTTAAACTATGATACCAGGTTACCCTCAAATTCTTAATCAGTAATACACAGAGCTTGTTCTACATATTTTGTGGTACTTCAAGACTTTAACACAAAGATTTCATCCTGCTGCTTCTTTTTATATTATTGTCACTACTTTTCACACTGGTCCTTTCCTCTGTTTTTAAAGTCCTAAAAACTTCAAATAAAAATCAGCAAGAGCTAGCACAGAAGATTCTATTATTCCTCCCACCAGACAGGGAGAAATGTTTAAACCCAATTTATATGTAAACCCAAAGTAATGAAGTTACAATCACCAAAGGATTATCATCCCTCAAACAAATTACCGCAGGAGTGTACAGTTTGGGTCCCAAAGTCACATTATGTACATTCTTCAAAGGCACTCCCCTGCAGTGAAGCTTCTGTACCCTACACACACCAACCTATCCAGGTTAATGCTTTAAGCAGCTTGCTATGCAGTTACAGAAGCTACTATTTATTATTTACTAGCTGAAGCTACTTTTATCAGAACTAAATTAATAGTAATTAATTGGTATACTGGTACATTCCTATTCAGCAACAAGTAATAAAAAATGAAGAAAAGGCCTGTTATTTTTGTAACATAGAAAAGAAACTTCCACCATTCCTACCTCACATGGATACTACACATTTTAAGCATCTATACAACTTGATGTTCAACAACAATAAAAAACTAGGCTAGCAGAGAACATCAAAGGCACAGAACCCAGAGAGATAAGCAGTCTTTCACTAAGACCCTCTTGTTTTCTAAATAGTACAAATGCTATACAATTTTCCTTAGCCATGTAAATAACCTTTTTAAAAATATATAAGAATCATCCCTTTATACTATCTGCAGGGGGCGATAGTGGGGGGTTGAATCGGGGCACTTAATGACCAAGCCACATCCCGGGTCCTCTTTTACTTTTTATTTTCAGACAGGGTCTCACTAAGTTGCCAAAGCTGCCTTTGAACTTGTGATCTTCCTGCGTCAGCTTGTGTCCAGCCCTTTACACTATTCTTAACAAACCTAAGAAACTTCATCATTTACTACCAATCTAGCAGGGCTAAGATGTCAAGGCACTTGCTGATTCACTGTCCTTAGATGCCACTCTCAGGATCAGTAAATGTTCTCTTGCTCTTGAACGACCCTTTACTTGCAATTTAAGCATATGTTCTTATAGTCCACATAATCTTCAAGGAAATGGAAAGAAAATGGCTATTGCCTTTACATACTGTTAGTTTTATCTGGGGCAGGGAAGTAGGGGAGGTAGGAGGACAAACAAAACTACCAGTTCAACTGACTTTTTAAAATAATTTCATTCATTTACCCTTATATCATCTTTATAATAAGAGAGAAGTACACAGGCTCATATAATAAAAACCTACTCAGTATTAAAATCTAAAATACTGAACATCAGTGTCTTTGTAAAAGCATATAATAGAATCTGCTGTGCTAACTGAAGGCCTCAGGGGCACAGCTGAGATCAGACGCTTGCCTAACTTGGGGCCTGGCAGTCTAAAGGTGATTAGGTCTAACATTTAGAAGGTGGGGTAGCTTTTGAGGAGGTCAAGAAAACTATTCAAAGATTATGTGGACTGGAAGAACATATATTTAAATTACAAACAAAGTTGCCAGCAATACCATTTTTAAAAGTATTTTATTATGTAAAAGAGAGAACTAAAGAGAAGTGAATACGATTTTTGCAACTGGCAACATTTCAAAACTATTTAGGAAAGGACCCATTTCCAAGAAAATTTCTAAAACCCAACTTACTAAAACTTTGTTTTAATGTTCAATCCTGAGATTACTACCATGATTCCACAGAGCACAGAAATAAAGGAGAGCTCTAAGATTCATTTTAATATGCAAATATAATACCTGGTAATATCTTCAGTCAACTGAGAAGGATCAGGAGGATAAAATTTCACATTAAAAGTAAACAGCCAAGGAAGATCTGCAATTATTAAACACCATGGTTATTTACCCAAATACGAGGATAACTATTTAAGATGATACAGCACAGACACATTTCAGTATAAATCAATTTGTAGAATTTGTTAGAAGAATATCATTTATAAAACCAAAATGAAACGAAAAATAAAATAAAAATCAATTATATAAATAAACCACTATTAAAGTTTACTTTCTCATAAGTGTTTATTAGTATATCAACAAATGTTGTGTATGGTGATCCATTACATAAATAATTAAATATAGCCTCCATGTAATAGTTCTGAGATGAAATCTGTTTTAACCAGAGGATCTTCAGCAGCAAAATACTCTCCACCCACTCAGAAGGGGGGAGGGGGTCAGTTTCCCTACATTGTTGGGGGGAAAGGAGTAGAAGCAATCACATCAACTATTCAGGAAATGATTAAAGATTTAAAGGAAGTGTTCAAAAAGATCCCAAGAAAGGGAAAGCATGGTAAACGGTGAAATACTTTAAGAGAATAAAATTATTTCCCAGTTTTTGTAGAGTAAGCACAGACTTTTATATAACATACACTGGGCCATAAAGAATGAGTGTGTTGCCAAGCGCAACAGTACATGCCTATAATCCCAGCCACTGGGGAGGTTGAGGTAGGAGGATTGCAACTTCTAGGCTATGCTCAGTAATTTGGTAAGACTCTCAAGAACTCAGTGAGATCCTGTCTCACAAATAAAAAATAAAAAGCACTGGAGATATAGTTCAGTGGTAAAGTGCCCCTGGGTTCCATCACTAGTATCAAAAGAAGAAAGAAAAAAAAAAAAAGAATGCTTGCCAAACAACTATATCATGAAAGTTACTAAAAGTAAAAACATTGCTATTTACACATTAATTTATATTTTTGCTATATCACGTTTTGGTTTGATCGGGAGCAATAAAAGGGAAAAGGGAGAAGGCAGATATTATTTTTCTAAAATGACCCAAATTAATTCCACTAGCCTGAATGTACAATTCAGCTCCAGGATCATAGCATTTTCCAACAAAAACAGGGAAGTTTTCTCTCTGTGTATAATTTATTTGAGGCCCTCAAATGACCTTTAATTTATGGACTTAAAAATTTTTTGAATTCCATTCTCTTGTTCAACATATTCTATTGTCCTCTGTCATCATTAGCACATTATCTTCTCTCTCACTCAATGGCTACTACATATATATGTTACTTCTGTTAGATTTTGGCTCAATATATCGTTATTCCACTAATAAAATCAATCCTGCTGAACTCCAGAAACAGATTTCAGTTCTGCTTTACACATTTAAAACATGGTAAATTAATATAGAATCTTCATAAATATGAAGAAACATGATGTTCCAATGCCTATAGCACTGTGTTAAACACAGTACACACATTATGCACGTGCACTTTTCTGAGGTGACTGCTAATCCATAATCAAGCAAAGTCATCACTGGATTATCTTTTCTTAATAGTCCCTTGTTTATTTGTTTTCTGGGTATTAACATTAGCATATGCTTGCCTGGATATGACTACAGGCATGTTTCTATTAAACTTATATTTGAGGATATACTTCCAAAACCCATGAATACTCAATTTATTTTAATTGAAAAAATTGTACATTTCTATGGTGTACAATATATTTGAAATGTATATACATTGTGGAATGGTCAAATCACTTCAATTAACATATATATATATATATATCCTCATATAATTATATTTTAAGAAAACCTGAAAATCACCAATAATAAATTAAGTTAAATTTGAATTCAACTATGAATTACTCTGGTTTTACTGGCTACACATAGACAGTTCAGCTAATTATGGATTATTTATATATTAGTCACCTATAGGCCTTACATATATAGGCTTCTTTGTATACATTTGAGAAAATAAAGTTTGTTTGTTTTTGCTTTTGTTTTGAGGGGATAGCCAGAGATTAAACTCAGGGATATTTGACCACTGAGCTACATCCCAGCCCTATTTTGTATTTTATTTAGAGACAGGGTTTTGGTGAGTTGCTTATTAGCACCTCAATTTTGCTGAGGTTGGCTCTGAACTTTCAATTTTCCTGCCCAAGCCTCCCTAGCCGCGGCCACACCCATGGAGAAAATAAAGATTTTTTTAAAGGTAAAATTTGAATGAGAATCAATAAGTTTTTTGGTTGTCAAAAGTAACCCAAAGATTAATATTTATCTTTTCAAACAGCCTGTTAACTGTAAAGGAACAATAAAATCATCATAGAGACTGGAGTAATAGAACAAGTTGAAAGAAGAGTTCTTTCGCCCATCTTAACACAGGAAGAAAGAGGTCAATAAATAATCAAACATAGGAATATGATTCATAATCAGGACAAGTCTTACACTCTAAAGTTTTCCAAAGACTTTTTCTGGAAAGTTTCTTTCAAAAATTTTGAAACTTTTTGAAAGTTTTCTTTCAAAAGATTACCAACAGGTAATATCTATGACTCTAAAATAGTGATACACATATAATCAAATCAGACTCAAAATAGGCATCAACTCAATGGAACATCAATCTTATTTCAAAGATTGTCCTTTTTCTGTCTGGGTCACCTGACAGGTCGGGTTTCAAAGAAAGTGGAAGAACCAAGCATCTATATCTTCTGAACTCTGAACTTTACAGAGCATGAAACAACTGCAGTACAGTTTCTTCCATGACATCAGTGTAATTTATCTAATTTATTCTTCCCCTCCTTTCCATCATGAAACAAACACAAATGGGTAAAACATCAAGATAATACATTAAAAACAGAGAAAGGGAGAGAGGAAATGAATGTAAAAAAGCCAGGAACAGTAGTCAAAAGACAGAGTGGCCAACCATGCCAGAGAGCCTAGGACTGTTCCATTTTTAGCATCAGAAGTCCCACATTCTAGGGCACACCTCAGTATTGGCAAGTCAGGAACTCTAACCAAAGACATTTTTTTTAATGAAAAATAAAGGATATAAATATATCTGTCTAAAAAAGGGAGACAAAATGAGGGCAATAAGGTTCAAATGTAAAAAAAAATACAGAAAGAAATGATAAGAAGACTAACAATTAGGAGTGAGAAAGACAATAAATATGGAGACAGAGGTAGATGGAAAGGGCAAGACAGGAAGCATAGATTTGTTCCTGGGTTTTGACATTAGAAATAATAAATAAGTAGGGATGTATAATCAATAGTGCAGGGCACTTTGCAGTTAGTTTTCAAGAAAACAGCTTCTCCCTGGAGCTCTGGGGCCCAAAGTCTTAGAAGGGCTATAAGGCATTCACCACTCTTCATATTTTGTTCTCCAATCTAAAACATTCTAGCTACTCACAATTCCTTGCCTTCTCTGCTCAATCATTCACAGACCCTGAAGTAAACCAAGTATCCAAATGCCCTATCAGAGATTTCTCTGTAGTGCTAATATTTCTTGGCACAGCTATCATAAGCAAAGCAATTTTCAGAGCACAGCCTCAAGGGAGCTGAGGCTAGTTAGAGTGGGCACTGGAAGTCATCTGGGGATTCTACAGTGAGAAAAAAGGGGCAGTGGGAAGACAGGAACAAGCAGGCCTAACCACAAACCCAGACCAAAAGAGCACTTAAGTGCCTTGGGCTGTGGAATGGAGGGAGCAAGCAAGAGGCAATGACTTAGAGAACTGAAAAGATGGTCCTGACTGACTTTCACCCCTGAAATCCTCACTCCAGTGCACCTAGGAATATGTGCCTGTATGCCTCTGGGCTTCCGATATGCTTACCATTAAACCACACACTTCCAAAATGCAATGGTCAAGGCAATAGTATCAGGTCTATCTACAGTAAACCTTCCCAAAGTGAAATTTGCAGAAAAAGAGCCTCTCATTCTTTCCCAGAAATAAAGGGTGAGATGTTGCCTTATACTGGTAAACACTGAAATGGTATGTGCAAGAATGTTCATCTGTAACCTCCTGCAAGGTAGGAGTTCTACACCAAAGACAAAATTAACAGTCCCAATTCTACAAATATATCATTAACATTGCCTTCTGAGATGGTATAAAATAGAACTCAACATTCTATTCTGTCTTATTATTCCAATCTGAATCCCTATAAATTTTATTAAAGATGGAAATAGATAAATAGAAAGATTTAACTTAATAAATTCAAAGTATGATTATTTAAATACTCACTTCGAAGTTGTCTCTTTATTTCTTTTGCAGGATCTAGCCAGTTCTGCAGAAGGGAGGAAAAAGGATTAATTATGCATAAGAAATTTCCCAGAAATCAAAATGGAATAGTTTACAATTCACAACTTAAGTACAAAAACATCTTAAAATATTTTAATTCAAAGCAGGTTTCACCTACGAGCATTCCCTTGGGCTAACTACTGATTTGGTTTTAAGTGTGTGTGTGTGTGTGTGTGTGTGTGTGTGTGTGTGTGTGTGTGTGTGTTAGAAACATAATCTTTAAATACTTTTAAAGTGAATTCCAGGAGTCTCACACTCTTAGATCTGCAAACATTTATTCAAATAATGAGAAATAATTTATGTACATGTAAACTTTACAGAACTAACAGCAAATAGCCCATGTGGACACAATCACCTCAACTTCTAAAACCAGGGCCTCCTTTAGGCTCATCTCCCCTGCAACTGTACCATGCTAATGAGAAATATCACCAGATTAGAAACAATATTTTCCTTCCTGGCCCTCATATAACATCCTTTCTTCTTTTAAACTTTATTCAAAGTTGGAAATTAAAATAATAAGGAACTCACTTTCATTTGTCCCTCACTTCTGCTCTTTGAGAAAGTTGACAGAAAAGGACAGAAAACCACTACAACACCATAAAGTAAAAAAGATTAAATTTGAACCACCAGGTTCAAACCTCTTGGACATGAAATGTTTCAAAGCTGTAAGCAAAAGATCCTTGCAAAAATTTTTAAAGATATATTTTAAAATTCAGAACCCTATTCTGAAGTCATTATTGAAGTTCATTTACCTTACTAATATACAAAGTACATTTTTCAGATACAATAAATTACATTTCACATCTATGCTTAAACAAAATTTTATTCAGATATATAAGGCAAACAAAATGCTTATTATGACTTAGGAAATAAAAAACTACTGTCTTAGAAATATTTTGAAATGGTACAACAGAACATGACCTTTCACTGTTAAAAATAATTACAGTAGTATATTTTAAAAGCAGAGCTGTGTAAACCCCCTCAGATTTTACTGCACTGTTCATGGCCAGCACTCCAGGCAGCAAGGACCCAAGGTGTACATGGCTCTGCTCTAACACTGGTGATATTCAAATCTCTCAATAAAGAGCCACTACAGCATGGTCTAGTTTCATATTATTGGTGTCCCAGCTGCATGGACTATTGATAGGAAGGGCCAGTGGACCCTCTAATGGTACCTCCAGTGCCATGTTAGGGAGTAGCTCTAATTCTCCCAAGAAAAGAGCCTGGCACTCAGCTTCCATGCCCTGCAGCTGCTGTCTCACACAACAGCTGGCTTACAAATGCCAGCTATGATGAGTGCCCCAAAATGAGAAAAACACATCATTCAGCTTCTAGCCCAGACTGGACTGAGTCTGAGGGAGAGGTGTGGGAGGGTCAATTGTGTGGCACTTTTATGCAAGAAAGCAACAATCATACCAAGAAAAACTGAAGCAGAAACGACTGGTGCCAAATTGAAAAGAAAAAATAAATTCCTCAGACCATTAACAAAGATGAGGAGAAAAGCAGAAAGAAAACTTCTGGTCTTGAAGACAGATCCTCCCATATCTCTAGTCTCATTAAATGTGAGTTGATATAGAGATGCGTGTGACAGAACAAAACATTTCTGTGTCCCACAGAAGACAGCAAAGGCAACATAGCATTTTGGACCTCCAAGAACTAAGCCTGTGCCTCAGCCATCTGACTCTCACCTAAAGCACCAACCCCTTGTACAAATACCTGACAGTTACTGCAGAACATGATAAAAATCAGTAGAACCCTAAAACATGAGTGACAAGTCCACTAGCCAAATTTAGACACTTATCCTCAGACCACTTCCCATAATATAGTAAAGCCATGATATAGTAAAGGCTGGTTTGGCTTCTTTTCCTATTTTGGACCTCAAAGTATAAGGTGAGCCTGTTTACCCTATGTAACCAAGCACAGCAGAAGTGACTCCTTCCATTAACCTCCCTGGTTTTCCTTTTCCTAACTACATTAGCTTCCATACTGCAAGCCCCATTCCTCCCAAGGAGTAAGGAGGTCTTCCCTCTCCCCAGGACTACACCTTTGTAAAAGCTGGGAAAGACTAACCATATTATTAGGCACCCTCCAGGGTGATTGGCAGTTTTAGGCAACCAGTAAGTACTAAATGAATACCTGCTGCCTGCTATCTGCACGTTGCTGCCTCCTTCTTCTCCATGCTGTGGTCATCTTAAATGATCATAACTTACATTAGGTTATTAATGTATTTTTATTTGAATTGTTAAAGTATTTACATCATGTTTGGTGTATAAATTTTCTGCCTGCATCATAAATTCACAAATAAAACTAACATTATAATATTATTAAAAAATACATATTTGTTTTATCTGGATTACCCATTGCAAATAAATATACATAAGCAAACAAATAAACAAAGTTTTTTTTCCACAAATAAAATAAATGTTCCAGGTTTAACACTTGAGAAGACTGGGTGGGCCAAGCAGCAGACACAAATAGATGAACAATGACATTGGAGAATGAGATAAATGATAGGGAGCCATGCATGTTTATATACACACTCCTCCATCCCATGACACATCATGGTGCATCATCACCGTGTTTTAGATTTAAAAATATGGCTACTACAGCCATAAATAGAGACCTTGGACTCAGAAAGACAGAGTCAAATTCTGTCCTTTTTTGAGGATACTGGGGATTGAACCCAAGGGTGCTCTACCACTGAGTCACATCCCCAGTCTGTTTTATTTTGAGACCTGTGTCTAAGCTAAGTTGCTTACAGCCTTGGTAAGTTGCTGAAGCTGGCTTTGAACTTGGAATCCTCCTTCCTTAGCCTCCTGAGTCACTGGGATTATAGTCATGCACCACCATGCCCGACCAAAGGTTTTTCTACAGAATGTGACTTGGGCACATTCCTTCATTTCTCTAAGTCTCAATTTCCTCAAATGCAAAATGGGGATTACAACATCTAGCTGATAGGGGGTAGCTCTTTTCAACCAATAATTCATTCAAATGCCTCCTGAAGATTAAACATGCATGCCTTTTAAAAGGCTTTACCTAAGTGTCTTTACTAACTAGATCAGGACCTTTGTTGCTGTTTTGTTTGCTTGGGAGCTTTTGGCAATAATAAAGCTAAATTAGTTTATCACCTTTTGGTATATATCCCCTTTCACTAGTCTAAGTGCTTCTATATACATGTTATAGAATCATCTAGCTAAGTTTTCTAGATTTTGCCTGATGATGAGGACCTATCTGGCAAATGTGTCAAAAGATAGACTCACCCATAGCCTACATAGAACATCCTAAAACACTCCCCATGGAAGAAGTCTGAGCATCTCTATTTTAGTGATAGCTCCAGTAGACATGTGTTAAAGCAAAATTAGCATTTTCTTAGTTCTTCCTACTTTCAGGTACAATATGGCAAAACTCAGAAGAGCTGAAACCCAGGCATATTTCAATAAAATTCATCTTGGTTTAATAAAATTATATTTTCCTCAACTACTTAAAGGCAGGAACATCTCACTCAATTTGGTGGCCTTCTCCTCACCTTCCCTTGTCTTTCCTACCCCAAACCCAACATATAAACCCAAGAAATATTTATCTTCTGAATAAACATCAAGTAAAATAAGAAATTAATAACAGTTTCAAGGAATCCTCTAACAGGTTTCCAAATAAACGAACTAAAAACCCAGTCCTAGAATATTAGTATTATTAAAATCCCCTTAGAACATGAAACCAGGAGGTAATGAACTCACCCTGGTACGGTGTATCAGGAGTTACATCTTTATTCTTACTAACTTCTATCTGAAATTTAACATTATCACCTATTATGAATATACTACAAAAAAATGTGGTTAACATCATCAGGATGACTTTATCACCCATAAAAACAAATTTTTTCTATATCATATTATAGTAGCTACAGATCTCAAAATATCATTTATGCTAACAAATATTTTGAAATCATGGAAGATAACTGGGTAATGATGAATTAATATTAATTAAAACATGTACTATTACTTTATTCTAAATTTCTTACTAATATTTTGAGAAATATTTACTACTTTCTTTGTAGTCCTGTGTACTTTATTATAATTACACATTTAAAACACTATTCTGAGAAGCAGCCCTACAGAATTTACCAGATCAAAGGAATCCATGACAAAAAAAAAAAAAATTTTAAAATACCTGCCTTCAAAGGTTATAAAAATGTTTAACCTGAAAGCATAATGAGTGGCTGTGCATATATGTGCTTTTACTCTAAAGTCCTTCTATTGGTTGACTAGAAAAACTCCTTAGCCCAACTCTTAATCCTATACATATTTGAGGATGAAACAGTCTTAGTTAACCAAGTCTTCAGACTTTTCCCTACTACATTTTCAATCTGTCCTCAGAAAAGGTATTCAACATGATTTTCAATTATCTTCTAATGACAGAAACATCTATAAAAAATAAAAGCTTGATTATGAATCATAACATGATTCAGAGGATGCCATTGATGGAAAGAACCTCAAAGAATTATGGTCCAAATTTCCATACAGAACAGGAATGGCCATAAATATTTGTATCACTTCTGGGATTCCAAACAATATGGGGGTATTAAGACCCCCAACTCTCTTGGTATTTGTGATCTTTCAAACTCCTATAACTCTTTGCTACCTTAAAAGAATATTTTATCCCCAGATCAATGCTTCTCACATTCAAAGGTATATAAGTAAGAATCATCTGAAAATCTAGTCAAACTCTAAGTTCTAATTCAGCAGATGTAAGTTGAAGGCCTACCACTCTTCATTTCTAACAAGCTCCTAGGTAGTGCCAAAACCACTTGCTGGTCCTTGAACTACCCTTTGCATAGTATAGTCCTAAATTTCTGTGCATATAAAAATTCCTTTCTTTTCATGAAAGTCGACTGTAGAGACATTTTTAATCTTCTAGATAGACACTAAGCCTTCACAGAGAAATCAGTGTAATTGCTGACAGCTTTCTGAAGAAAGCTCTAGCAGGGCA